CTTTTTACTACACCTAATATATACCTTTCGCCGTCGATTTTGCCATTTTCATCGAATGTCTTAAAGGCATTGATTACAACATCGTCATCATCAGCACCTAACAAAACAAGAATTATTCAGTTTTAAAGCATTTTTGTTTATTTCTTCAATTAATAAATTATACCTACCTGATCCTGACATACGAACGGCGAATAAATTTAACAGTTGAGTAAAGTTAATGGGCGCAGCAGCTTCGTTAAGCATTTCCTCGATCTCCTTATCGGTTGCTAATCGACCGACAGAATCGAAAGCTGCTCGAAGATCATTCTTACCAATAATACCATCCTTATCCGCATCCATTAGTTGAAATGCCTATGAATACAACAGCATTTAGAATATGAACACGATAATATGAACATGTAATATTTAATATTTTTATATTCCTCCGTAAATTGAAATTCTTCCATTATGCAGTTGTTAAATAAGAGTTAAGAAATGAGAAATCTATTCTAAAATCTATTAATTATCAAAAATTACATAGAAAAGAGTCAAATAATTTTTAAAAAATTAAATAATAAGAATAAAGTCAAGCAAGAACTTGATGCCATATTATTAAACAAAGAGTTATTAATATTATTAAACAGAAAGTTTATTAAAACACAGGTTCCAATCTTAATCGGATTATTCTCAATGTTAACAATTTTAAATTCAACTAGTATTAACTAATTATCATTGCTATGATTACAATTTAAAAACAATAAATTTCAAAGAAAAAAAAACATCATTAAATCGCTATTGTAATATCTCATCAATAGAAAACTCTTAAAGTTGAGTTAAACGAAAGTAGCCAAATGCATAATTCTTCGAACTATCCGAACTCATTTAAAGATCTTCCTATGTTATTCGATTGATCTATATTTTTCTATTTCAATTCAGTATTTAAATTTAATTACAAAGAATTAAAAAAGTAAAAGTATAAAAACTAAAAAAATTTATTTTAAATAAATTTTTACAGCAAAAAACTTAGTATTGATTAATACAAATGCATGATATCACCGCAAAATTATCCTTTTTACCAAAAGGTAATAAAAAGGCGCTTAATGTATGCCTGTATGTATGCTCTTGAAGAAAAAAATGAGTTTCTATTCCAAACTTATTTGTTTAAAAGGAGCATACTTAATGCCTTTTTTAGCTTTTTATAAAAAAGATAATTTACTAATTTGTGGTGATTGAGAATGACCTAATTAGGATCGAAACGTATATTCTAATAAACTTTGTTTGTTGTTTAATAATATAGCATCAAGACCTTGCTTGGCTCGTATTTCGCTTTATTCTTATTAAGGGGATCTCCTGCTTTAAGAGACCGAAAAAAAAAAATAATTTTTCGTGATTTTTTTTCAAAAGCAAAACTAATATTTATTTATTATTATTTTAAAACTTTTTGTTATAGTTTTAATATAATTATTGTAGCGTACAAATTAAAAAAAAAATTTTTTTTGTGAAAAAAGTATTCTAAATAATAAAAATATAAACATTTAGTTTGGCATCTCGCCATGACGTTATGATTTTATGTACGTCCTAGCGTAATTTTTGCCGGAAACAAAAAATTAAGAAATATTTTTAATTGTTATAGTTTTTCATCCTAAATGAATTTAAAAAATTTTTTAAAATATATATAAATTAAAATTTTGTGCGATTCTGAAAAAAACAGTTATGATTTTCATTAGGTAGCAGTCATTCCTTTATGCAAAAGAAAATTGTTAATGTTTATTTTTATTTAATTTTTTAAGTTCTTCGAAGACTATTAGCTAACTAACGAGCCTTATAAAAAGTCGAATTGGTCAAATATTTTTTTTCAATCGTATACACAAATGTGAAGAAAATGCAAAAAAACAGATTTCGAAAAAAGCGCGTTTAAAGTTTTCGATTTAGTTCTTGAGTACTTACGGAGACTAATTTATATTCCAGGGACATACATTTATTATATTTGCGTGCTATGCACTCGTATATATAAGCGCTTAATTTATATCGAAGGACTTTGAATGTCGTTTTAAAATTATAGGGATATATTTTCGAAGAATTGTCGAAGAGTTATCGATTTATGAAAAAAAAAATCGATTTTTTTTATTCTCTAGAGCAGGAGATCTCCTTAATTATTAGCTTAATCGAGTGATGTTTTTAAGTCCGCACGACTAATATATTGAAGATTCCCTCTATTCTAGTCCTATCCTGAAATAGTAGATTCCTTAATCCTTAACTTTAAGAAGGATACAGGTATCCAAGAATAGTGCCAAAGTAGAAAGATTCAAAATAGAGACGAATTTGAAGTAGAATTTTGTGTAAAATTATATTTTAAATGAACCATACCTCCTTAAATTCAGCTACTTGTTTCTGAGAAAACATGGAGAATACACTGGATCCGCTGCGTTTAGCCTTGCGACTGCCACGGCTGCTTGCTCTAGCAGAACCAGAGTCTTTTGGTGTACCTGTTGGAGTTGATGCTTTTTCTTCAGCTGGTGCTGGCTCGGGCTCGGGTGGTGGCGCCTCTTCCTTCTTCTTAGTCTTCTTCTTCTTCTCTTTATCCGCCTAGAATATAAAATACCGCAATATTTTATAACATATTTTAAGTATTTTTTACTATTTTTTACTATTGTTAGAAAAAAAAACTGAGATCACAAAAGGTACATGTAATAGTTTTCTTTTACGAAATATCCAAAATAATATAATTATTATTATTATTAATTAAAAAATGACCACTGTGATTAATGATAAGCATTCTTTTTTAAAAAGTTTCCAAATAATTTGTGAACGTTTGTTTCAAATATAATTCAAAACTAAAAACTTTATGCCTAAAAAAAAATGTTTTTTTTTATTTTAAAACAATTAAAAATTTTAAACGCGATGTAAGGATACCAGGTGTTTTATTCCCATGAATGCAACCAATTAGTCAAAAATGTTATAAGCCAATATAGAGACGCTATTAGAAATCTGCTATTAATAAGGCTTCAAAATTAAATTTCACTGCTATTATACGCAATAAAACATATTGTATTCTTATATCATGATTTTAACTTTTTAAATATCGAATATATATATATATATA